TAATAATAATAATAATAATAATTTTAAGTGTCCCTACTTGTAACTGACGATTACTGCACGTTGAGAATTACAAATTGAAGGACGTCAAAGCACTCATCAAGAGCACTAGACCTCGTCTTGATTCCAATGATTATCTTTATTACAATGATCCAATGCTGAAAACTGTCAAACTAAAATACAAGTAAAATATCCAGTCTATTGCGACACGAAATAACAAAGCCGAACAATAATCGGATATGATAAACACACGAACACAGGAAAGGCAAAAACAACTGAATTAGAAATAAAGCAATGAAATGAAACTAAGAAAGGTAAAAGCATGCTTGCCGATTGTCCTTTCTGCACGCCTGAGTAGTTATAAACGCAGGATCCAAAAAACTTTGCAATAAATGCAATATACTTCGCAAACGCAATAACAGATCATGCACTCAGACGATTAGTAAAACTGACGTACAAGGTTCTGAAACATGATCTGACGGAAACATCACTAATATCTAACCTAGACAGTTACACTACTCCTCATAAATGATTCATTTCAGCAAATTGGGAACTTTATTATAATGAACAATAGGTTTTAATTTGGTACTATACCTGCATCAGACATTATCAACTGAAGATTGCCATGGACAGACAAAAGTCAAGGAAAATCAGATTTTTTTTTCAAGGTCAGGAAAAAAGTCAGAGAATTTTGTATCAGCTCAGGGAATTTCTAAATCCCTGTTCAAAGTCTCAGAATTTATCTATAAACCATCCACTTTTGTTGTTTCATGGCCAAGATAATCATCCTGCAAGGTGAAAGTTGTTCTATCGCTTTTTTTATTCTGGTGAGTGAATTAGACAAGTGTTATGTCCTGTTTTTTGCAGATTGCTTCAGTCCTGTGGTGGTTTTATTTCTCCAAAATTGTGGAACTTTTCGACACTGTAAGTACTTCCATCTTTTAATCAGCCAGTTTCAGCATTCCTTTGATGCAGTCATGTTAGTTCTGATATATTTTTTCTCCATACACAAAGACAAAGTGCTGTTCTGATCAGATATAGACTATCGCAAAATTTGAGCGGGTAAAATATAAATTCAGTTTTTACTGGCCGTTATTGTCGGGGTTGTCATCATCACTGCTTAAGCTCTCAAATATCTTACCAGAACTTCTATGAGTGTGAGAATGAAAAAGTTTCAGAAGTTAATAACAGTGTAGGTACAACAGCACCAAAAAAATATCATCTGTTTACGTACTTAGTTTCAGAGAATGTGATCTGATAGGGAAAAAGTCTGCATACAAGCCAAGTGGCCCACCAGGCAGGAGCTTGTATCCCGGTTTCAGTAGCATGAAGCGACTAGGAGTATTTCTATTCCCCCCTGGATGGGATGCTAGTCCATCACAGGGATCATCGCTAGTCCATTGCATGTGATCTGATAATGTGTGTTAATTCTTCATCTGGCAGATGTTTTTCCTTCTCCGTAAGAAGAACAATCAAGTAACTTTCCTTCATGTTTATCACCACACAACTATGGTTGGCTTGTGGTGGATTGGAATGAAGTGGGTAGCGGGTGGACAGTGTAAGTTATTCATTGCTCTTTGCGTCTTGGGTTGATAAATTGAAGTCCGAAGTCTACGATACATTTCCACCAGTTGAAAATAATTGCCTTATGGGTTGATTTTTTTGAAACTCACTATCCCTTTACCCTTTCTTAACAAATGTATTCATGTAGGGCATCTGATCTTCATCTGAAATGCAGAATTTAATTTGTTTTCTTTGCAGCATTTTTAAGTGCAATGATTAATTCTATGGTACACGTCTTTATGTACACTTACTATGGTATGTCAGCTGTACCAAGTTTAAGGAAATACCTTTGGTGGAAAAAGCATCTAACACAATTTCAGTTGGTAAGCTGTCTTTTGATATATATCTTGTAGAATAGCTATGATTTCTTTTGATACTTATGTCAGACAAACAACTGAAAAGAAAGTTTTATTGTAATAGAGGTAATAATTTCTGAAGAAACTGTGTCGATGTGAAACGCTTTGCTCTTTATGAACTTCAGAAGTTGACAGGGGTAAATTAAGTGTTGCAACGAGTTTGTGAATCCGATCTTTTGAGTGGTAGCTTGTTATCCTCTGATGAAGCCGAGGGGTAAAGTTTGAAACATCAACTTTGCAAACTCTAGTGAAGTTTAGCTTTGGCTAAGTTCATAATTTTGTTGCCAGAACTTAAGATAGCTGCATGCTTAATTTGAATGAGCAAAGGCAGTTTAAATTCACTGCAGACTGCTGCAACATGTAAATGAAGCCCTAATCATACCCTACAATATTTCAAATAGGTCAATGAGACAATTGTTAATACTATTAATACTATTACAGACCTACTAGGAGTTAGGAGTTACAGAGGCATGGTGGCCTCATAGTTAAGTGTACTTGCCTCTGTATCAAGTGGTTCTGGTTCAAGTCTTGGCCGGGCACATCATGTTGTGTTCTTGGGCAGGATAATTTACTCTCCCAGTGCCTCTCTCTAGCCAATTGCATAAATGGGTACCAGCAAACTTAATGCTGGAGGGAACCCTGCAATGGACTAGCATCTCATCCAGGGGGGGAGCAGAAATACACCTTGTCGCTTCATGTTACCGAAACCAGGATAAACACCAGTCTAATAGGCCACTTTGCTTGTATGCAGACTTTACCTTGCCTTTTTACTAGGAGTTAGGAGAACCTGGTTATGGAAAAATTATATTAATTTTACAATCTGTCAGCTATTCTGGTATGAGGTTGGTGACAGCCATGCATCCCACATTCCCTCTTGCCCCACACCCCAAAAATCATGCAGACAGACTAAAGAAATACAGAGTATATTTTATTTAATTTCTTTTTTCCTCTTTTTCCCTCTGTTTTAGACCCAGTTTTGTATGCTTCTCTGTCATGGTGTTGTCTCACTCTATGTCAAGTGTAACTATCCTCTGTGGATGCAGTATGCCTTGATTGGTTACATGATCTCCTTCCTTGTTTTGTTCTCAAATTTTTACATTCATGCATACTTTACCAGGAAGTTCAATAGGCATGAAAAGGGTGTAGCAAATGGAACAGTCAGGGAAAGTGCTGATATCATGGCAAACGGTAAAGTCATGACTAATGGAGAAGTCATAGCAAATGGGATAGCAAGCTCCGATGTTGAAGATAGGAAGAAGCGCATTTAATATCAAGATAGATGGTAGAGATTTAGGACAAAAGTTGATGTTTATTTCAAAAGTTCACATCATTTCTCTCTCCTATGTAGCGGCTCAACAAGGTGTGTTTGTGAGATTGCGAGATTTTTTATGTAGGCTAAAAGCCTTTGCAGAGGAAAAGAAATATCCTGGTTTGTAATTTTAATCTGGGTTGGGGGGGGGGGGTATTAAGGGTTATTTTTTATGTGGTGGTTTTAAGGCGCTAGCAATGGAAGTCAAGGCAAGAAAATGACTCTAATGGACTAAGGCCTTGAAGGCAAGAAAAGTGACAGTTTAGTAGGAGCTGTTCCATTCCAAAATACTGTAAAAAGGTAACTGAATTTATGATACAAAACGCTGCAGGGCTGGCTGTCTAAAAAAAAACTGATAATATATCTTATCTTTCATGTACATGCACATACCCAAAATGTATATTACAAAGTCATTTACTTCAGTATAACAAAATGTATTTAGCTCATATGCATAACATACAGAAATTAAGTGATGATTATAATTATTGTTAAATACATTGCATAATAAAATGATCATATAATATAAATTTATACATGTAGATCAAAAAAGACAGTGTGTGTTTATACAAAGAATCAATTTAGCTCTCAGGGTCCCAAGTTATTTAGGACTCCAGGTTTAGAAGCTAAAATACATTTAACAACCAAGCCCCTGTTGCTTTACCTCAAGGCCCTTAAGAACAGAAATAAGCATCTATTTCCAGGCTCTAACAAAGAAAAGTTTTTGAATTCACACAAGGGTTCCAGAGACACCCCTCTCCTCTCTTCCTTGGGACCCTAAGCACTAAATGTTTTAAATTAGAATATTTTATCTTTAGAACCAAATTGAGAGAGTTTGTTAGTCTTAGCTTGCACAGCAGATAGTGAAAATTATGGGAGGGAAGAGTGAGGAAAATTTTGTTAGGAATAAGCACAATCGTAAGGAAATTGGTGAGGACAAGTTTCATACACAACTACAAGGAAATTGTGTTCTGCTTTCAAATTATTTCCGTGGCAAAAGCATTTTCAAGTTTGAGGTCACAGTTTTTCAATGTACAGACTGACCCCAAGCTGGTAAATAACTTATTTTTTTCCCTCTCTCTTTCAAATCACTTTTATAATTGTTGACCTTTTCCACACACACACATCACGTGCTCATTACCGTGGTCAGAGATGGAAAAACTCAATTGCAGGATTTGTTACCGTGCCCTCTTGGAAAAAATAAAACCATTTATTACAAGGGAACAAGGGAATATTAATGGGGAATAAGAAGGAAAACAATGAAGAAAAATTCTTTTAGAGATCAAGGAATGTGGGTCATCCCCCTGGGAGGTCTTCTGTAGTATGAAGCAACTTAGTTCACCGTGGGTCACCCCATAGCATTTTGACTGAGATGTATTTCACAGACGACTAAGACACATGTTTCAATTGTAATGTTTATTAAAAACAATCTTTCCATACAAAATATACTCTAACCAAGCTAAAATGTTATATTCCCTACGAAACCACAGCAGGCATTACACACATGGAACGTTAATTATCTTACAATGATAAATGGTGTGGCATGTGTCACCTACGTGACATTAATATGAATATGTAATATATGAAACTAAATAATGACAAATCTGGTAGTCAATAGACCAATTTCGATATATTAAAATTCAGCCTAAAACAATAGACCTCAGTACGAGGCTCCCAGGAATAACTACAGAGTTTGTGGGGTTTATTCCCCAGAGCCTCGTGCTGAGGTCCATTGTGTTAGGCTGAATTTTGGTCTATTGTCACATTGTTATACGTGTTGTCACACAATGCAACTTGTGCCGTGACAAACCAAACCACCTTCACAAGGGTTCATTGCTTAGCGATTTCAAAACACCAGCAGCTGCATGTATGGTAGTCGAACAAAGAATCTATGAACTTATGT